TTTAACCGGAAAATCTTTGATCGAGCTGTCGAGAAATAACCAGCGATCAGGAAAGCAAGCGCCGATCGAACTTCGGCCGAACTTCAACACAGGATTTCGATCTAAAGCCAATGTCGGTGTTCAAATAAATTTGGTCGATCTGTGGCGGTGCCAAGCGGGGTCGTCAGCCGCCGCGGCTGATGACAGCGGACACAATGGCAGCGGTCGTGCAACCAGCCGGCAGTTTTCACGGGACAAATCGTGTTTCTTCGGCGACTTTCTTCTCGCCCTGTCTACGGCGACAATGGACGGGCAACGAGGAATAAAAAGAGCTCGAAGAAAGCCGCGGTAACGGGAGGTAGACGAGGTCGCTGAAAGACTCGCCCCCGCCGCGGCAGAAGAGACAAAACAGCTTTGCTGCTTCCCGTATCAATTGGATGTTGGATGGAAGTGCGTCCTTTCATTTCTGTAATTCCAGTCAGAGCGCTGCGGGGGGTCGAAAAGGACTCTACGCTTCGCGGGACGCGTTTCCGGAGGAAACTCTTGCTTTCTCCGGGATGAAGATACATGCCCGTGTGGCGCACGGAAAAATCAACCCTCGGCTGGCTCGAGGACACCGGCGCGGTTGTTTTAACCCCGGAATGACGAAGCCTCCGGGCTCGCCAACTTCTCCGCGCTCATAAACATTTGTTTCGGCCGGTTTTCCTTGCAGAAATAATATCTTCCCCAAATTAAATATAAATCCGACGTTTTTAATAACCGCGGTCCCGGGAAATAACATTCGCAACTTCATTTGTTGCATTTTTCAGAGTGAACGTTCCGTTCAATCGAGAACTAATTTTGTTCGCATAGCTATCTCCTCTAGAAGTATTATCATCTAATTAGAAATAAATCTAATGTTTTTAATATCGTGGACCTGGGAAATAACATTGACGACTTCCTTCGTCACATTTACCGAAATGTACATTGAATTCAATTCGAAACTAATTTTGCTCGTTACTACTTATTCTGGATGCTTTTTCTCGAATATCTTCACTTGAAGAATAAATCGGCCATTTTGAATACTGTAGAGAAGGAAAATATCATTGGCAATTTTTCTTTGTTGTTTAATCAATGTTTTCAACAATAATATATTTACCAAGTCAAACGGAAACAATCTTGTTTAAATAGTCGAAAAATGGAGATCAATATCTTCGGCAGAAATGCGAACTTTAATAAACTGCTACGCGTCGAAGATAATGTTATATTCATTGTACATCCACGTTACTAAATGAAACATCAATAAACGAATCATCCGTATTTAGTGGATTATATTCGTAACGTTCGGAACGAGTGCTGACACGATATTAAACCGGAAGGGGTTAGTCGGATATAATAGAAATAAATGTCTGGCACAGACGGCAGAAATAACACTGCCTCTTAAAGCTCAATGCATCGTATTTCACAGAATCCGATACACAGAAGTGAGCTTGAAGATTTCGTCATTAAAATCGAATGGGCTACGAGTCCTCTTTCCGGCGCGCCGTCAAACGGCGTAACCGCGTTTGATATCGAAACATTTGATCGCGCTGATAACAAAAGATAGCCGAGCACCGATTTCGGGGGGGGGGGGGCACAAAGCGTAAACGGAAGGCAGAAACGAAATTCCCTAACATTCTATCCGATACAGTATTCGCTCGTTAACAGTTAAAGGTCGAACGTAACGATTTTCCAGAGAAAATTTGACGAGTATTTTCGCCGCCGCTGTGCCACGGCTGGCGTTGAAATTTTCGCATTCACGCGAGCGCCCCGGCACGTCATCCGACAATTTTCAAAGAGAGAACTTTTAATCGCTCGGAAAAACCGACTGCTTTCGATAGGGGTATTGTATCTAGATATTATAAAATCGCGATGGAATTCGGTCCGCGTGAAAATCGTTTAATAAACGACATCCACCCTCTGTGCGCTGATGAATTTCGCCGCGTTAGGAGGGCGGGGAGGGCGGCGAGGGTGGCAGCCAGGGGGTGGACACGCGTCGTTCGCAATTTTTCACTCGGTCGCGAACACGCGACACGCGCACGTTTCGCCTATTGCGAGATCCGCGCACTCCGCTTCGTAAACACGCCGATATTAATGTCGCCCGATTGTTTTCGTTTGTTAATAAGCGACCCCGTGGTCGGTTGAATATTTTTCTTTTTTTTTCGAAATGAACGCCCCCTCTCCGCCGATTCCCGCTGACCCCCTCCCCGCCGCGGATTTACAGTCCATTCGAAGCCGAGTTAATGCACCGTGGACACGCTCTCGGAATTCAACTTTCCGTATGACAGGAAGAATTTAATTCGTTCAAGGCAAACAGCTTCGCATGTACGTCGAACCGAGCCCGTCCGGGATTACCGCTTTTCGAGTATTCATTTATTCGTTTTTAACATTCATCCGTCGGGCTCCGCGCGCCGGAAAAACGTTCGAGCGTGTTTCGATTATTCCCGCACGCATTTCCAAATCATTCAGTTTCATTTATGTGCGCGCAATTTTCTTTTATAATCCGACAGAGCCGCGCCGGCATTGTTCCGCGGTATTAATTTTCTAAGGGGCGAACTCGCGCGGGATCGTTCCGCCGGCGAAAACAAATCGAAAATATGCAACGAAATTTTGTCGGATGCAACTACGTTTCCCGGGGAAATTGAATTTAAAAGTGTTTCGGGCGCGCGTGCCTTCGAACACGGTCGACTAATTTGTTAGTTCATTACTCGCCACTTTTCCTAGCAATACGCATCCACACCGCGCGGCGCGGTATCGCGTGTTTATTTTTACCGCGGTTTGCTGATAAAAAAATATATATAACAGCGCCGATACGGAAACACGTATTCTTCATTTTTATCCGCACTTCGTTTTATTTCGCTCTGCTCGCGGTAATAGGAGCTAAGTGAATATTACATTCTACGGAAACCAATTACTGTAATTATTCAGTATTATTCATGCTTCTGTATTATGTTTGACTTTCTTCGTATTTTGTTTACATAGAACACTTTCATAAAATATACGATTTAATAAAGAATGTGTACATACTTCTTAACTTGTCAATTTGATGAAATTCTTTAGGATTTTCGTGTGCCAGTCGAAGCGTTAACCCTTTGCAGTCGAAGCTACTTTAACTCGAAATCCAAAAGTGCCTATAATCCAATTATATAATCCAATCCAATAATATATAATTATCCAATATATATAATAATAATAATCCATATAATAATAATCCAATAATATATAATTATCCAAATATATATAATAATCCAATAATATATAATCCAAATTCTGCCTATATTGACAAGAACAATACTTGCAGTTGTAACAGGTTTTTGCTTTGAATATAATCAAACCTGATATCGTTACAATTATTTTGAGAAACGGTATGGCAATCATTAGTTGGATCTCATAGGTGCAAATATTTACGGACATACCGAGAAATGAATTTTTAGGAGTGAGTATCGTACAACTAAAAATCGCTCGAAATTTCGATTCGTCATCGCCGGTCAATCAGTTCTCCGGCAAAAATATTCCCGGAGACAGTCGGCTTCGGGCATTTAAGAGCGGAAGGTGGTTTAAACGGTTTTATGCATTCCGCTTCTAAGGAATGGCCGCGATGGCCGCCCGGTTTTCCGAGCAGTCGGCGAGCAGACGTTGAAGTCGGACCAACAGATTCCGCTTCCACTTACAATAAAAGTCGGTGCCCCTTTTACGGTGTACTACTTGCGTCCGACTTCCGCGAGACAGCCCGTCCGCTGCAGCACGTTCGCAACTCGCTCTAAGGAAAGGAAAACCGGCTGTCTGTCTGTCCGTCTGTCCGTCGCGTCGTTCTTGGCCGCATTCGAAATACGTTTAAACGAAAGGAAAACCTCTCCCTCTCTCTCTATCTATATCCCTTTCCCGCCGTATCTTGCTTCCACCGACGGCTGTTCGCGTAAATGGATAAGTTACGCGGGCCGGATGCAAATGCTCGGAGCGTTCGTGAACGGAATAACGCGCGGCGCGGCTCTCTAGCTCGCCGGTTCCTTTGTTCGCGGACTCCTCTTTCCCTTTGATGGGGTGAAACGAAAACAAGAGACCGCCGCGCCGCCAAGCTCGGGAACACGAAGAGAGAGAAAGAGAGAGAAAGAGAGAGAGAGAGAGCCACGGCTATTCGAAGGGAAAATATTTAGACTCCCGTCGGCTAACCTTGAAACGACCAGAGCCGCTGAAACTCGCGGAAGTAGAGGTCTATGCGTGCACCGCCGGGCCCCCGTAACACCCCGCAAGTCGATCGGAATCCAGGAAGATCTTTCGAACGGACGAATTAAAAATATACGCGCGCACAGGCGCGCCGTTCTGCCTTCTGCGGCGCCCACGGAATTTCCTAACCGTGGTCGTGGTCACGTTCTTCGGTATACGTCGTGTCGCACCTCGTATTTCTTAAGCAATTAACCCTTCCCCGACCGAAATTTCGACTCGCGCACGCCGGACCCCGGGTGCCGAAGTATAAATATTGTTGTCCGACTGTCTGTTTTTTGCGACGAGCGATCTAAATGTTCATTGAACTCTATAAAAGTGCTAACGTGCCTGGCGAGAACGTCTCAAAACACATGTTGAAAAAAATTTGTAAATTGAATTAGAAATGTTTCTAAGCATGCTCGAGTATATTTTTGTCAAAGAGGCGTCGTTCGAGTGTTAAAAGTACTACGAACACGTTTTCTTCAAGGAAAGGAAGATAGGGAACGAAATATCTGTTTTGTCCGTACGTTCGGTTAGTCGCCTAACGTACATGCGCGACCGAACTATTGTACGCTCGATTCGCGCTTCCTACGGCAAATTAATGACGTGGAAGGATCTCTAGTAGTCTTAGAGAACTTTATTTTTTGTGTTGTGCTCTCTGCGAGCGCTGGTGGAAGAATGCTCTTCCAACGCTGGAAAGTCGTGGAAGAGCACCCGTGGATGGAGGTAGATTGTTTATTATTGGTCAAGGCACGAATCACCCCTTGGAGGGGGGTGTCTGCCTTGACGCTTGTTGGGGCCTGAGAGGGTTTCCCCNTTCTGTATACAGGACCACCAATTTTTATTACTTCCATACCTAAAATAATTAATCTTCAATTGTTATGCATTGCATTCGCTTATCTTTAACCCAGACCTTTTGCTGGTGCAACTTTCTGTGACATATCAGTGTCCATTGTACCCAAGCCTCCGCTAAACATTATGGGTTTAATCCATTCACGACGTTCCCCAATATTATCTATCATTCCAAAAGAACGAGCAAATCCTGTTATTAGTGGTTCTCCAAATTTGTTGCCGTAATCGGATGCACCGTTACTAGCTTCAACTATAATCTCTAATGGACTAGCCATGTTGCTAGGGTATGGAACATCTTTCTCTTCCCATGGCAAGTCGTACCCTGCCAAATAAATAAAATGGTTGGTAAGAACAATAATCATTTTTCGGCATCCACAAATTTAAAAAAAAAAGATAAAACGAACCTGGGATATGCAAATTTCCAACAGAATAACCAGCAGTTCCAGCAATGAAATATCTGTTTTGTCCGTACGTTCGGTTAGTCGCCTAACGTACATGCGCGACCGAACTATTGTACGCTCGATTCGCGCTTCCTACGGCAAATTAATGACGTGGAAGGATCTCTAGTAGTCTTAGAGAACTTTATTTTTTGTGTTGTGCTCTCTGCGAGCGCTGGTGGAAGAATGCTCTTCCAACGCTGGAAAGTCGTGGAAGAGCACCCGTGGATGGAGGTAGATTGTTTATTATTGGTCAAGGCACGAATCACCCCTTGGAGGGGGGTGTCTGCCTTGACGCTTGTTGGGGCCTGAGAGGGTTTCCCCAATGGTGGGACCTTTTTATGGCCCTTGTCTCTGGACGCAACAATATCAAAGAGACTTTAATTTCTGTTAATGTTGGATTATTTTAATTTTAATCTAAGCGATGGTCGATAGTTATAGCTGTTTTCCTTTTCATTTGCTTTACTCTATCGACACACATGTATGTAGTTTAAGACGTTCTTACGCGGAATATTGTGTATAAGAATAATTTCTATTTGTATTGTACATTTTCGATTTAGAGATCATACTTCCGAAGGTATTTTATATCCGCGCTTGTGTTTGTATTGACGTCTGTGTTTATAAATTGTAAACTGGAAGTCACGGCAAAGCCGAAAGGCAAACGACAGTAAAGCACCACCGCTACAAAAGACTTAAATAACACAAAACATAAACAACACATCCTGATCGTTTGTTCTGCGTTCAGTTTGCAATCTTCGTAATAATGTAACGCAGTCGTCGTATATCGCTAACATGTCGATATTCGTTCTCAAGAGATTAATATTTTTAAAAAATTCAACTCCGATAGAAATATGTAAACCTCTTTTGCCATTTAAGTTCGATCAAAAAAATACTCTGCGGCGTTTTCGGTTTCTGAAATAATCGGAAATGGTTAGATTAATAAATTAATTTTCGTTCCGTAGGATCTGCAGTATTTGTAGCGTTAGAAGACTTTCCCGTCCCGGTGTCATTTTCTAAATTACCTTTTCGTGGAAACGTCTTTTAACATCGTTTTTTCCACCGCGATATCGATCGATTTTAATAATTTTCAGCAAAACCACTCGAACACACACACACATCCTTAGACAAGAACCTCCGATTTCATCCTACACGAAAGCAAAATTTCGCAGCTCGTTTCACTTCGCTGTTTCGTTTTATTACAATTCATTACCCTTCTCCATTCGCAATATTTCATCTCCGTCAAAGTGTAAAAGTGCCTCCGGCTCGTATATAAGGATACATCGTCCGTTGCATTATCATAATGCATCATCGCGTATTTCCAGCATTAGACTTGAAAGAGACGACGTTAAAACGCGGCGAATCTCGCCCATTAACACCGTTATTGTTCGCATTATCTTATTTCTTTTTTGTTATACACCTCATTATCTTATTTATATTGTACACCTCTCGCGATCTTATTCTCATTATTTATCGTTATCCTGCTGTTCTTTCGTTTACGCGTTCTTTTAACGATCAGTGCGCGATCGAGTCTATCCGCTAACATTATTAAAACATAATTGGATCTTGTGTATACACGGTAATCGCGAATATTCGGTTGCTTAACGCGGCAAATCCCTAAAAATTACGCAACTTCCAGGTAATCCAGCCGGAGGAACCGAAATTCGAAAGTTACAATTGTTTAAAGCCCCGTAATCCTCCAGCATGCTATAAATTCGAATAAAGTTTTGCCCGAACACCTCGCGACACGAACTTCCTGATCCCAATCAAAGAACACGTGTACGCAGCATTCTCAACGCGTTAAAAATAGCTTCTGACTCGATTCATTAATGCAAAAACAACTTCCACTTAATCAGCGTTCGACGAACAATCGCGTAACCCGGAAATTCGGGCGACAAGACGAAAAGGAACCCGAGACCGGTCCAGAATCCCACCAATCACCCCGACCGGAGAAAAACAAATTTTCCCGGAGACAAATCATTCGGTCGTGGTACACGGTGTTCGAACGAATCCTTGTCGTTTACGACTGCGAATCGCGCAGCCATAAAGACGCGAATCATTCGGGCAGCTACGTACAGCCGGCGTTACCGGGACCGAAACGGAATCGAATTTCCGCGAAGAGAAAGGCGAAAAAACAGCGCGCGACTTTTATCTCCGTGCGTATCGCGATTCCAGAAAAATATCGAGCGAAAAAATAGCCCCGTTCCTTTGAGCGAAAGAAACTTGAAAAGCGACGGGTGTTTCCGGGCTGCGGAAACGGGGGCCGGGGGAGGGGGAAAAAAGCTTTTGATCCGACCAAAATCGGGAGCGCCGCGGGGCGCGCGGGGCGTGCGTCGAAAAATGACGAAAGTGCATTCAGCCCCGAAGATAACGACCGCTTTCATTCGTAACTTGATAAACGGCGCACTCTGCCTCTAACCTGATCTTGAAAACTAAAAGCGGAGCGAACCACTCGACCGATGGTTGACAGAGCCGGACCACTTGAGAAACATTCGTTTCCATTAGCGTTCCGGGGTCAGCGCGACAGGTCCGCGTTACAACCATTAAAACGTGTCCCGCGATATAATAAATGCTTCTTTTCTTGCCGCTCCTCTCTCTTTTTCGCCGTGGCCGATCTTCGCTCGTGTTTCCGCGCGATGTTTATTTCGAGCGCGGGCAACGCGAGCCACATGTCTTTTGACAATCACCTGCGGGGGTGGTTTTGCCAAACTTTTTCTGGGAGAACGGTTTCGTAGACATGAGAGAATCGTGTCCAGAAATCTGTTTTATAATTGTGCTTCTACGGTAACGTTTCAAGCTTCGTGATATCTTAAATTTCTTTACGCTGCAAAATGAACATTTGCAACGGAATATTCAGTGTACCAAATTTGCTTCCGAAGACGCGAGAGAATTGTGTCTAGAAATCTGTTTTATAATTGTGCTTCTACGGTAACGTTTCAAGCTTCGTGATATCTTAAATTTCTTTACGCNGATGTTTATTTCGAGCGCGGGCAACGCGAGCCACATGTCTTTTGACAATCACCTGCGGGGGTGGTTTTGCCAAACTTTTTCTGGGAGAACGGTTTCGTAGACATGAGAGAATCGTGTCCAGAAATCTGTTTTATAATTGTGCTTCTACGGTAACGTTTCAAGCTTCGTGATATCTTAAATTTCTTTACGCTGCAAAATGAACATTTGCAACGGAATATTCAGTGTACCAAATTTGCTTCCGAAGACGCGAGAGAATTGTGTCCAGAAATCTGTTTTATAATTGTGCTTCTACGATAATGTTTCAAACTTCGTGATATCTTAAATTTCTTTACGTTGCAAAATGAACATTTGCAACGGAATATTCAGTGTACCAAATTTGCTTCCGAAGACGCGAGAGAATTGTGTCCAGAAATCTGTTTTATAATTGTGCTTCTACGATAATGTTTCAAACTTCGTGATATCTTAAATTTCTTTACGTTGCAAAATGAACATTTGCAACGGAATATTCAGTGTACCAAATTTGCTTTCGGTTTGCAAAATGGAAAATAGTTGAGAGAACGTTTTAGTATCGTACATTCTAAGTGCTCAATTTTTATTTCATTAGATTACTTTATTTTTGTAAAATTTTTAAGGCTGTTAATTTAGTAGTCATCAAAGCGTTAATTAACATTGAAACAACCAAACTTCACGATAGAACAGTCAAAAATGTGGAAAAATATATTTACTGATTTATCATTTTGTAATAAAAAAAAATCATGCGATATTTCAAAATATGCAATCCTATTGTCTTTAAAAGACAATACATACAGAGGTCACTTTCCGGTTATTCTAATGTTAACAGCATTGATAGAAGATAATTTTGCTTTTTAGAGCAGTCAAAGTCAACATTACTTTCCCGATAGATCTTGATGCAATATTTATTATTAGCCTGCTCACATTTATACAAATTTCATGCCAACTGTTGTGAAACTGGGGTAAAGTCGAATTAAATTTCTTGCATCAATGGTTTCAACACTCTAAAAATAATATCAGCGCGAATAAGATGCAGTAAAAGTTTCTAGATTCTCTATCTTATCTTCGAATCCGTTTGCTATATTTGAAAGTTTTCGATGCGTTTGCAACAATTTGTAAGACCCAGCGAAGCGTGCATTCTCGAAAATCTTCGGTCACCCGGTAGATTCTACTTGCATTTCTCGGTTCAGTTAATCAAATGTATCAATACGAAGTAATTGAGAGTGCAGAGTAAAAAAATATGCTCGCTAAATAACACTGTCGCTTATGCAACTTTCCGCAATCATGAAAGGCATTGTAAAGAGAAAACAAGGGAAAGCCGGTGAAATAAAAACTTTGATAAAGCGTAAAACGCAGGCCCTGTTTTCTTTCCTTTCCGCGGTGAAAACATTCACCGAGATAACGAGTTTCTATTTAAATTAACTTTCCATTAAACAGTCCGGGGAAACGTAAATTTGCATAAACATCCGCGGTCTGTCCATTGTTTTTAAACGGTGAATGTTTATGCATTAGAAGCGCCATGTATGATTCGAATGGCTGACACAGAAAAAAGATTCCGATGACGTTTATTAATATTCATACGCTACGTCTTATGTCATCCGCATAATCAACAACTCGTGCCAAACAAGATAACGGCATTTATTTTGTTTAAAATATCAGAAGATAATATTCAAAAAAATTCAATTCCGAATCGGCCGTTATATTATTTTACTACACGCGTACAGTTTCATTTACATTCGAAAGTATTAAAATACGGCAACACAAAAGAGATTTAACATTATATACTAATATAAAACCGTGCGTATTTATTTATCCGAACATGAAACTGCAATCTCATTTCCGCTTACACAAACCACGGAACAGCAAAAGAATTAAGAGCCACTTCATCGGAATCCTTTTTTTAATCGCGAGGATATGATTTTTCCATGGCTATATTTAGTTTGGCGCAGCGAGAAAGTTGCGTTTGATTAACCCACGCTATACTACTCGATAATTTCACCGGTTGTCGACTCCGCGCGACACTTCATTCCTTTTATAACGCCATC